GAGAAACCCGAGCTATTTGCCGCAACCGGGAACATCAGACCTATTTTAATACTTTCAGTTAATCACCGCTGTTCACCCGGCTTCTTGCTGAAGACTCGCCTTCTACGATGCTTTAGCGCTTGCCACTAACCTTTGATGTCCACGCCTCGCCTCGCTGTGACCTTTGACTTAGCGACGACCTTAACGCCAAAAACCACCCAACCCAGCCCCACGCTCGACCGGATAATCAGCCAGGCAATATTTCAGAATTGGATGAGTCGCGAGAGGAAGTATTTAGGCACGACGGCCATAATGCGCCCTACTCGACTACTACGCGCAATTTTTAGCCGCGGGTGCATTTCCATTTTTGGCGCCGGTCGGGCGTTAATTATGGCCGGGAATGCACGTTGCGCGCCGTCGTGGCTTCACTGTTGTTTGAGGGGGCACGTCAAGTTGGGCAAGTAGAGCAGCTAGCACCGATGCTTAAACGTATCTTTAGCTTGAACGTAGAGAATTATCGAGCTAGGGCTTATTCCAACCAAATCGAGGCATAAAGGCGGTTTCAATAAGAAACTAAAAAAACCCAAATTTAAAAACCTTCAAATGAAACCGCTTAACTGAATAACGGAAATTTTATTGAAACCTTTATTGAACGTTTAAATTTAATCAAGTTTAAAAGATGTTCCTGAACGCGTCAGTGCCAAAAGTGAAAAATAAACGTTCCTTGCCCTTTCCCGACAAGACCAGGGTCCACCAGAATCGCCTACACCTCTACAGTACCCGCCCCCAAGCAAAAAGCCGGCTGATTTCGACGGGGCGGTACCGGGGGCCAACGCGGCCGCCTATTTAGGACAAGATCGGGCACGCGAAGCACCTGCTGGCATTTCGGGCCCGGCGGGCAGGTGAAAGCGCAGCTAGGGGGCTTAAGAAACGTTGGGGCCACCGAGTGCGCAATGTCTCATTTCGGCTGTTGCGTTCGTTAGTCCCGGCTGGCTGTACATTTGTGTGACTTTTGAGCCTCGTAACTAGACGATGAATGGCCGGCGATCAACTAGAAAACGATTCGATTCCGCAAATTAGAGTTACAACCCAATTTTCCGCCTATTTCCGTCGGGGCTCAACAATATCCTCCCAAAAAGGGCATCATCTAAATCGAATTACAGTCCCCCAAAAATTGACGTATTCGACACATTCTCGAATACAACCAAATTCCTCCCCCCACCCCATAATTCACAAGGCTAAAGTGCCAAAAACTCGGGCAGAGGTTACCAAGCGATACCCCGGCTGCCCATTTCGCGCAAACCAACATCACCCCAGTCGAGCCGGGCCACAAAATAACCCGAAGCTTCTCCCAGATTTGCTGTGGGCTGGGCGCCAGGATCTTCGGGCTGTTCCTCGGCGCGAAACCGGCCATTTGTTGGGCGCAAAAGTTCGCATTTGCCACCGGCGTAAATAGGGCGGGTGCGCGGAAAACAGGTGGGAAGTTCGAGTTTTGGACCGGGCCACCGAATCGTAAAACTCTGCTTTAACTCTTCCGAATTTTGCCCGAGACTTGACAATGCCTAAAATTGCTATAAAAGTTTGCTTTCGCCTTTTCCAATACCTTCTATACGAATAATCACCCTCTTTTTCTTCAGGGTATCCCCGTGGCCGCGCCGTCCCGCGAAAATGCAGCGACTGGTGATGGTGGTCTTATGTTCGGCGCTTTTCGCCCAGATCGCTCAAGCCAACCTATCTATCGGGCGACTCGTACTGCTCAATGGCCCAAGACGGTGGACCTTTTAATCATTTTTGTGCTCGTATGACCAGAAGGCCGAAGTGATACACTAGCTGAAATTGTCGCACCTCAAAATGCCGTTATTTCGTTTCCAAACTCAAATGGATGAATAAATTAACTGGAAAACCTAACTATTAATCCAAGAAATGAGCCCCATTTTAGAGCAGAGCGCTCGTTGACTGGAAATCAAATGGGAATCCCGGAAGTGGCCAAGCGGGCCCAATCCCAGCAAAGTGAAGGTGGGTGGAACGGGCTCAAACCAAACGCTTTTCCCCGACCTCCATCAGCTCGACAAATGCTAAATAGATACCTTTATAGCCTGGCCCATATGCTCTACCAGCATGGAGCGCATCGCAACTCTCCGGGCCCAACTCTCACGGCTAGAAGCCGAGCTGGCCGCCGAGCTCGAGGCAGCACGCCGCTGCTCGCTGCACCAATTCTGAACGGGCTCACCACTAGTCTAGACCCTAGATTCCCCCATCGACCACAGATCGAGAAGATCGACTTGCCAACCCGTGATTGCGCCTTTGCACAGCATGAATAAATCGTTGTTAAATGGGCCGCGACATGGGACCTTTACGGAATCATTTAGAAGTTATACGCGCCGTTCCCCATCGTAGAAGCATTACCAAAAAACGCAGGATACCCGCACTTTATATTATTGCACAACCTGGCAAAATAGAGCAAAAAACGCATCGAAAATTCTACTCTGGATCGTCGTCGTAGACGGTCATCGGCACGCACTAAAATGATAAAATAAGGTTTGGCATAAAAAAATTAGCGAACGTCAGTGTTTACGGCTAACGCTAAAAACAGAGCAACAATCCCACCTTGAAATCTACGAAGGGTTTTTCTGGCGCGTCGACCAGGTGCACTTGACTTCGCACGCTCAGATTGCCGCGCTCGTCAATTTTTAGCTGGGCCTAGACAAAATGTTTTCGAAACAAACCGGAAGCTACCCCGGTCGTAATGGCAAGCGAGGGGATGAGGCGCTTCAGGATTTTCGGCGTATAGCTAAACGCTCCGTGGTCATCACAGGTATAACTTTCCAGCTCGTCGGATCCGCGCGGGAATTCCGTCTAAAATCTTGAAATTTGGAGGTAAATAGGGCGCCTACGTAAGACTCGCCCATGTCGCCGATGATCCCGCAAAACACGATACGATCCGGGCTGAACTTTATCGTGATTTTTGTCGCGTCATGCACCAAATCCTGGAAAAACGAATAAATATTATACAAAAACTTGCCCGAATCGTGTCTTGAAAAAGGGCCTTTCGAATGTAGATATCCAGAATCACGTTCGTGAATTCGAAGTCGAGGTTATCCTGACGACTAGCATTACGTGATAAATCAAATAAGCTACCAGGTTCACTTCTGTCGTTGGTATCGTCGCCTCCAGAACCACCCCGTCGTCTTCGGTATAGATTTTCAGAGGTGCGCCCACCGCTTCGTAGTGAATTTCAAAGCACGAGGTGGCGCCGTCAAGTACAAATAGGCAGTCCTAAGCGCAGAAAATGATCAAATAACTGAAAATTACCAGCACACTCTGCAACCGAACCGAGACCGCAATATCGTCAGCTTTTAGCTCGTATCTAAATGTGGAGCTTTAAAACCGGAATTGTGTGCATTTACTTTTCGAATGAGTCGTGCATCAGGTAGATTTCAATCTGATTCGAGTGCCGGTCGTTGTTGTACAGCTTGGCGCCGCTGTTCTTGAACCAGAAGGTGACGTCCTCAAATAAAGCGATTCAAAAAAATCCAAAAGAAAATACCTGGGAACTCGGGTCGTTGAAGTTGAGCGTTTTCAACAAATCGGAAAACTCGCGGCAGTTTCTGCGCCCGAACACCACTAGTTGGTTGCTGATGTCGCGTGCTGGCATCTGAAATGATTCTCCAGGTTTTTTATACGTTAGAATAAATGAAAAACAAATGCGGAAAATTTTACGAAAAGGACATGAAAATGGCCTTCAAATTCCCGCGCGGCTGCGAAGTGAAATTGAGAGAGCTGGAAAGGAGAAGAGCGCAGAGGCGCGGCGGGGAAACACTGAAGAAAACTAAAAAAGTCAAATTACCATTCAAAAAATATTGAATTTATAATAATCTAATAATGAATTCAGCATTATCTTCCGGGGCGCTAGAAAATTAAAAATTGACATTATCCCCCAAATTCATATTTCTCCCCGCTTTTCGACAGTTTACAAAAGTTTGGTAAGAATCTTTAACAAAGCACTGGAAACAACCCGATTTCAGCCTAAAACAATGGCCGAGCCGACGCCCCCCGCCGTGCCGTGGTTCCCCTGCGTCAAGGACCGCAGCAGCGACGACTGGCAGAAAATGTTGGGCATCTTCTAGGATTTCCAAGACACATTCCACCCTGCAGCTTCGAGATGAAGCCGGTGCTCGGTGAGCAGCGCCTGATTCTGACGCTGGAGGATGGCGGCACGCTGATCAAGATCGAGGACAACCAGGTGCGGGCAGGAAGCAACAACCAGGCTGTTTTTGCGGCAATTTGCTAGGAAAGTTGTGTAGTCATAAAAACAACAGAAAAAGACTTTGGTATACTTTAAAGTCCTATAGCAACGGGGAATTATACAAAGTTAACGAAAGCGAGAGAATTTGATATTCCTTGTTTTAGCTGCAACGCCGCTACTTGCTGGTGACGAGCCCGAACGCCGAGGGCAACCGTCGCCGCATCTACTTCGAAAAGCGCAAGGAAGAGAGTGCGGAAATCAATTGAGAAGCGAAACAAAGAGGCTGTTTCTAGATTTCATGGTCTCCGACATGGTCGACCGTGACGGGGTGCGCATCGACGAGGAGAAGGGCCCGTACCGGCTGCGCGAGATGTGGCTCGAGAATTGATCGAACGCGAGGATGTTTTGCCGATAAATACTTGCTGATTTTTGTTTGCGGTTTCGATGTGAATTTTTATCTACAAAGCTCTTGAGAATTTATTTAGGCAAAGACTAGAAAAACTCCCGCCTACCCCAACTTTTGTATCTCCTCTTCCCCTAAGTCCACAGGTGTGTAACGTAGACCAAAATGGTCGTCTTGGTCTTGCGAGTATTTTGGTATACTTTACAGTCCTGTGGCACAACGGGAAGCGGCAATACAGTAGTTAGAAATCGGCTGAGGGCCATCTGAAGCTTAGCCTACTGAAAAAAACCAATAACACTCAAAATATCATATTGCACATTACCCAAAGTAATTAAAAACACCCGTTCAATCCACAAATACAATAATCCTCTAGTCGTCATCGGCCATCTTGAAGTCCTGGTCAGTTGTGAGCAGGTGTGTAGCGTCTCGACTAGCCGGTGGCACAGCCTCGGCAGAGCTCGATTTTTCGAGCTTCTGCGCTGCCTCCGCTGAGCTAGAATTTGCGAGCATCTTCCGGCTGTCGCTCGAAATCGTCTCCAATTTCTCCATGATCGACTCGAGCATATCTTGGAATTTCACCTACAAGGCACGATTTAGTTTGTAATTTTTGTCTACCTGCTTCTCGTACAAATAGTCGACATTCGTCTGCAAGTGGTTGATCAGCTCGCGCTGCATGCCCAGCTCGCGCTTCAACCCGCTGCTCTCTTCCTGAACAAGTCTTCATGTTTTATGGGGTTGAGCAAGGGCTTGGCTTTCTATTTCAAAACTTCGTTTTTTAGACCCACCTCTGCCGCTTGCTGATCGTAAACATCGCTGTAATCATCGAGTTGATTGGCACCAAACAAGCGACGGAATCTTAAAATCACAAGTTTTCAGCGAAAATATTTAATTTTGGTCCAAAAATCGGTGTTTTTTGTAGTTTTATAAAATCTGTAAAATTTTACTTTGAAATTACAAACAAAACTGGGTGGAAACATTAAAAAAATATTAAATATACTATGCCAGTTTAGCTCAACTAACCTCTTCCATTTTGTGATTCGATTCGGGTAGAACGAAAGCCGGGAGCGCGTAAACTTTTTCCGCCAAAACGACATCGAGCGCTCCACCTGGAGCACCAGGTCGACCTATAAGTTATATTTAACGTAAATTTACCCTGAAAAGACCACCTGCATCGACAGCCGCTTCAGCTCGGCCTTTTCCTGTACCGACTTGATGTCGTCGACGGCCAAACCGACCAGCAGGTTCATCAGGAGGATCGTCATCAGCACGCAAAACAGGAAAAACACCGGGAACGCGATCGCCTTGGAGAATAGGCTAAAAGAACTAATAAATATATTCTAAAACGTTCCCACCTCTCCTCGTGTACATCGACTGTGCCGTGGAAGATGCCGTTGTACTCCATCTCCCCAATGGTCATCACCAGCGTCTTGACGATCGACATTGGAATCGTGGAGAACTCCGGCTGAAAAAAAAAACTAAAAATTAGCAGCGAAAAACCCACCCGATTCTGCATCATCAAAAAGAAGGTGATCGAGAAGGCGGTGATGAACAGGAAAAAGATGAGCGCGAACCGGGTGAACGTCTTGAACACGTCGACGAACATCAGCACGAAGATGCCAAACCGGGGCAGCTTGCGGATGAGGAGTAGCTGAAATTGGCATTGTTGTATTCGCGATACCTCCCAAAATTACCAAATTGATCCACGCCAAGAATGTGCCCAGCGTCGCCAGCATCCATTGCCAGTTCTGAAAATTCAAAAAAGCTCGTTAAAACGTCAAAATCGTACCAAACGTATCGCCGAGTGCTCGGAGCAGGGAGAGAAGTCGTACATCGTCATGATTGCCGCCGTGTAGATGAAGATTTCGAGCAGGTTTTCCACTAAAAAAGGCTAAGAAAAAGATGAGAATGCCTACACGAGAGGTAGGCCCAGCGGCGCGTGTAGAATTGGTAGATCTGAAAATGATCAAATGTGTATCAATTAGCTGTATACAATTAATAAAACGTATAAAATAAAATCACCAGAAGTATTTAAGTACCTCTTTAACAATCTGCGCGCCGGCTAGACACATGACGATCGTTTTGAAGAGGTTGATATAGGCGTTGTGGAAGTCTTGCTGAAAAAAAAAAGATAAAAATTAATCAATTTGAAAGTAGAGAAACGCATTAAATTAAATGAATCTGCTATTATTGCGATTATTTGGGAAAAGTAGTCGTATTTATAGTACCGGCACGTAGCCGGATACTGGACTACGTCGCATTCCTCTGGGCCTACGAACGATGTGCGCTCATTGAAAATTCTCAATTAGTGCCTTTTCATCCTCTATAAACGATTAGAATTGTTTAGAAGTGATTTAGAATTAGCTAAATTGCCAAAAAATAACGAATAAACAAAAACGTACAGCCGAACTACACGTAGCGTTCGCATCGTCCATCAGGTCCATCATCGTCCCATTGCCGTATCGTACGTTAAACGGCGCCGGGATCATGGCGAGAAAGGTGGTGAAGCACAGCAAAAACACGAGGTAGACGAATGAGGCTGGAATTTATGAAAATAGGACTTTTCTCGCAACCTACCCGAATAGTAGACGTATTTCCCGAGGTTATTCCACTTCAATTTTAGCAGTTCTTTGACGAGTTTGTGCGATAGAAGCGACATTCGCTCCGAATCGGCCTGAAAGTTTAGTTTAGTTTTAAAACGTCAATTCCCAGATCTAACCATCATCTTCAGCGGATGCTCGTAGTAGATGCGGTCGTGGTTTTTGTTGTAGGGCACCGCCTCCGGCCGTACCCGCCCGTTTTCATCATATGGACCGTTGCCGCATTGGTCCAGGGCTTTTAGCACTAAAAACAATAACAAAGTTTGTATTAACTAATTTTGTAACAATAAAGTGCTTTATTTTAAGCAAAAACTCACCTGTTTTCCCATCCTCTTCAACCGGCATCATGTAGGTGTCGTCGATAAACTCGAAATCGTAGATCATCGTCAGGTAGGCGCCCTCGTTTTCCATGCTATAAAATGGGGGTGGTTTCGAATTTATTTTATTAATTTATTTTAGATGAATTTTTAATAGATTTTTTAAGCGGATATTTTAAATATGTGCTAAAAAGCACGGCAATTCAAGAACTAATTTTTCTTAGGGCCCACAAAAATGCTGAAAAGCTTTAAAAATCGGCATTTTCAATGGAAAAACTTGTGTAAAATTTATGAAATAATAAAGTTATGAAAATTGTTTGAAAAGCAACGTGAATTGTTATTTAGAAGAAAGGATAAGCCATAAAATCTTTTCTCTTCAAATTCAAAATCTCTTCAAATCTTTTTTCCTTCCCCTTTTTAGATCAGGTGGGCAAATGGCCCGTGGGGAATTGAATACTGCCAAATTTGCATAAATATATATTTTACATAGCTGGAGATAAAGCTGCGCAAAGATGGTTCTTCTGTTCTCTCATAGCCACAATGACCATGCGACAAAATGGCCGGTGGCCCGGCCATTTAAAAAGTACTTTTGCTACCGTACTCCCGCAAAATCGTTCTTTCAGCATTCGCCATGGCGACTGCCGTATTCCTTGGGTTGCTTTTCGTACTCAAGGCGTCGTTGCATCAAGGCGCTGCGTTGGGCCTGGATACGGTAATGCCTTAGCCATTGATTACTGTATCTGTATGCTTCAGAAGCCAAAGATGATCTTCTTCGTCACGCCGACGCACCGACGGATGAATCGACTGGCTGACATGACGAGGCCGGTTGGCTCTGATTTAGCAAGTAGATGAAACGCCCTCCTACGCGCACGTGACCCCGGTTCTTGTCTGCTATCAGGGGGGACGAGACGGTAATCTACCCCTTTTTAGGCTGGCGAACACGTTGCGCCAGGTGCCCGCTCTGCACTGGATTGTCGTGGAGGACGGGGACTGGACGGTCAAGGCAGTAGATGACATTCTACGCCGCTCCCAACTACCGTACACCTATTTGGCCGGGGTCGCGCCGGGCGTACGACGATCCGATGATGGTACGTTATAGTCTCCATGTCTCTGTCTCTCTCTCTCTCTTTCTCCATCTCTACCAACGGCAACAACTTCAGCAGGTTCAGCGAGTTAGCAGAAACCTAGTTTTCCGGAGCATTCTCTGCTAGCTTGCCTGCATGTTTTTCTGACAGCATGTTAGCTGAACGCGTTGCAGATGTGTAGCATCTACAAGCAACCTTTTTTTAGCAAAAGGCTGGTGGCAGCGTAACACGGCGCTCGAATATCTGCGGAACAACACGAAGAAAGTACGTTTCTCTCTCTTTCTCTCTCTTTCTCTCTCTCTCGCTCTCTCTCTTCAAAAATTCATTTTAGATCGTCGGCCCCGACCTCCAAGCCAACGTCTACTTTGGCGACGACGATAACACGTACGACCTCCGCCTCTTCGAGGAGTGCATCAGAAGGGTGGAGCGTCTCGGTGTGTGGCCCGTCGGTCGGTGCTCCTTAGTGGCCAATGGTCTCATTTTTACGCTTTTAGGCTCCGTCGGTGGCGTCGTAGCCGAGGCACCAATCGTAGAAAATAATGTGGTAATTTCCGGCTCTGATAGCGAGATTTTTTGGCTTATGATTTAGGTAGTCGACTGGTTGGTGCGCTACCTGCCGTCAAGCCCGTTTCCCGTGGATATAGCCGCGTTTGCTATCAGCCTGGACATTGTTATCAGGTGATCTATCTCTCTCTCTCTCTCTCTCTCTCTCTCTCTCTCTATCTCTCTCTCGCTTTCTCTCTCGGTTTTTATTTCTCTCTCCCAATCTCCAATCTGTCTTCTTTTCAGCAAAAACCCTCGTTTCGAGCCAAAATGCGTCCACGGGCGTCAGGAAAGTTGCTTCCTGTTGCAGTGCGGCGTAGAGGAGCGCGACATCGATGCGTTCGGCGTAGCGAAACCAGGGGTGGGACTGAAGACTTTAAAGGGAGCCAGAGCTCTTCCCCCCATTAACAACCCTTTTAACCACAGTTTTTTCAGCACCCCCCGCAAGAGCTCTACGTTTGGCACACGCGCACCGTCCGCTCCTCGGACCCCCCGTGGGACCGGCCCGAATACAAGGACTATGTGCTGGATCTTGAATGAGACGATATAATATGAAAGTACTATGAAAGTTACTAATAAATAAATTGATTTTTGTTTGTTTTTTGTTCTATTATATTTATATTTATCCGACTTCCTGGCCCGCCTAAGCCTAAGCCGAACCTAAACCTAAGCCCAAGCCTAAGCCAAGCCTCAGCCAAGCCTAAGCCAAGCCTAACAACCTCCTTAAAAGATCCTAGCTATCCTGTCTTTCCCGGTATCCTCCGAAACTTACGTTATACACTTGTCCATCACCAGCGACGCCAGCTCGGGGAATTTGGCGATCATCTTCCGCATCGGCGTCTCTTTCTCCGTCTGCAATTGGTTAACGATTGAAATGCTAGTTTTGGCTTATTGATGAGCCGATTACTTTAAAGAATATCATAGCGATGAAGATGCCTATTTTTTTGAGTCCTACCTTATGTCGGGTGTGCGTCAGGGTATTTGAACGGCGCAAAAGAAGCCGCCAATCCGGTCTCGCCAACAATGCTTCGGCTACTGTCCTTTAAAAAAATAGTTTTTACCGCGATTTTAATTTTACAAAACCTGTGCCCGGCTTGCAGCGCGATGCCGAGTGCCGTCAGACCCACCGGATTTGCGGCGTCTGGAAAGGAAGCTTTTCCCGGTTTTTTTAGAATGCTTTAAGGACGAAAAATGATCGTTTTTATCATGATTTATAATCTTGTATTTTTAGCTATTTTTATTGCGTATTTATTAATTTTTTTAACCCACCAATCGTTGCGCCCGAGCTCAACAAAAACGCCACCACCTTGTCGTGCCCGTTTTCGGCGGCTCGATGCAGTGGTGTGGTGCTAAAAGTTGCTAATTTCTCATATTTTCGCGTATTAATATTTAGATTTATACCACGCCGCTTCGCGACTTTTCAACCCTGGACCCATCTAAATCCCATAATATTCTTCACTTTGCATAATTCGCCCAAACTGCGATGAGAAACACTGAGAAGTGCTCGCTCTCTCCCATTAAATAGGCTATCGCCACTTCCGGCGTATGGTAATTATTTCCTAACAAAGAGGTCGCCCGATTTTTCAACAAAAACTTAATTTTAACGTCGAAAATAGCATAAATTGCAAAATCTGGTATGCGTGCAGTCATCTCGGTGCCATTACGCACCTAATGACGTATCATACGTAGCTGAAAACCCTTCCCCTCATGAGTTATCTTCCGGACACGGTGACGGAAGTTGCATGCAAATGCACACTGACACACAAACACTATTTTTTTATATATAGTAGGATTAAAACATAATTGGATTTTGCAATGTAACTTTTGTATATTTTTATTAAAATTTTTTTTGCTACCTCACAAACCGATCCCCATCCACATTCACCAACCCACTGTCGACGAGCACGCGGACGCATTGGAGATGACCAGCCTGAAAAAATTTGAATTTTTTATTTTTTGGACTACCGTAGCCGCTAGGTCCAAAGCAGACGCGTCGAAGACGTTGCGCGAGTTGATGTCGACCGAGTGCTGGATCAGGATCTTGCACACCGTGTCGTGGCCTGGAAATCGAAGTGTTTTAGGGTGAACAGCTCTCTAGCTTCTAAGCGCTTTTACCGAAAGCTGCTGATTTCCAAAAGCTACCATGAGCTCCGCAGTTCCTAGCTCCCGAGCTTCGAATGGTTCTGGACTATTAGCGGGGGAGTCTTTTAGTGGGGGGTGAAAAAATTTTTTCCCAGTAATCCGATACCTATAGCAAAACATAACCATTTTTATAGGATTTTAAAGTTTTTTTTTGCAAAAACAACCAGATCTCTCAAATTGCATCAAAAATATGAGCAGCAAAAGCAGCAAAAATCAAAAATAAGGCCAGAAAATTCGAATTTTTAAGCAGTTACCGGTATGTTTGATACCGTACTATCTATCAATTAAAATATGCAAAACATTGTGAAATATCAACTATAGTAACTTTTTTGTGGTCTCTGTCTGAAGCCGAAGGCAACGCGACGGGGGAAGGAGCTAGAGTTTAGGGCTCTTCGGATTCGGATAGCGCGCGCTCAGAAACCCCCACACTGATCAAGATCAGCATTTACAAACCTCGTTTTCACATTTAAAAACCGACTTTCGTAATTTGGTAGTAAAACGGCTTTTTGCACGATTTTGGACATAGTGAGCCAGGTCGCGCGCGTTTCGTGAGGGAGCGGAGGGAGATAGCCTGAAGTCTTAGTATTAGTCACCCTTTAGCCTCTCAAAATTCAGTGCCATATTCCTTGTTCAGTACTGTAGCGTAGTGTCTATCATCTTTTCCAAACCTGTTACCCAACATATCCCGAATGTCGCAAGGATGCCCCATCTCCGCGTAATCCAAACCCTCCAGGCCAGGGCTTTCAGCAGGGGGCAATTAGACCTCCACCCCCATCCCGGATATGCCTATAGGTAGTGGATGTGCCCTGAGGACGCCAAATTGTCGCTTGGCTTCAAATCTCGAGGCCCCTGGGCCACTACTACACGTATAATAAGACGCCCTAGTAGGGGGGGGGGGATGCGGAGGGGTAGGGGATAATTACCCTCGTCGCAGTGTGTCTATGGAGATCCTGCAGCTCTTCCTCCACCTCGACCTCGCTTTCTCGCTTTCTCTCTCTCTCTCTCTCTCTCTCTCTCTCTCTCTCTCTCGCTCTCTCGATATAATGGTCACTTTGCCATTCACCATTTATGGATGGTGAACAAATAGGGTCGATCTGGGGATACGGTATCCGGTGACCAAAGCCTAGCTTCAAAAAACGAAGTGTAAGACTCCCCAAGAATATTACTGGACCGTTTATCCAGATTTCAGGTGAGTACAACCGGCTCCCAGCTTGTTAACTTCTGGCTTTGAAGGTGTCTCCGCGTAGCTGTCGGCACCTAGCCGAGCGAGACGTCGATTTTTCCTTCCCGGCTCCTTTAGGCCAAAACTCGATGGCTCTACGCA